CGTCCAAATATCACTGGGTCCTGCCTGCCAGGCAGTTTCCCCCTCACTTCCTGTCTTTCCTCATGGCTGAGGCTTTAGGGGAGGGGGAGGGGGTTCATTGTAATTTAAGCTCGTGCCATGTGACCCATGGTCAGTCACTTGCCCTCTCTGGGCCTTATGTGTCCCATCTATGAAACTGGGCTCGGTATAGACATCCTTCAAATTCAAAAGTGTGAATCTCAGTGTAATGGTTAAAAGTGCCTAGCCGGGTTTGGTGGCTCAGCCTGTAATCCCGCACTTTGGGAGGATGAGGTGAGTGGATTGCCTGAGCCCGCGTATTCGAGACCCGCCTGGGCAACTTGGCGAGACCTCATCTCTACAATAAATCAAAAAATTAGCCGGTTGTGGTAGCGCACGCCTGAGTTCCAGATACGTGAAAGGCTGAGGCAGAAGGATCGCCGGAGCCCAGCAGGTTGAGGCTTCGGTGGCTGGGAGCGGCCACTGCACTCCAGTCTGGGCAACAGAATGAGACTTCAATTAAAAAAAAAAAATGCCTCACCAGGCCAGGCTCGGTGGCTCAGCCTGTAATCCCAGTGCTTTGGGAGACCGAGGTGAGGAGGTGAGTGGAGCGCCTGAGCCCGCGGGTTTGAGACTTGCCTGGGTAACCTGGAGAGACCTCATCTCTACAATAAATCAAAAATCAGCAGAGTATGGTAGCGCGCCTGTAGTTCCAGCTACTTGGAAGGCTGAGGCGGGAGGATCGCCAGAGCCCAGCAGGTCATGGCTGCAGTGGCCAGGAGTGGCCACTGCACTTCAGTCTAGGTGACAGAGTGAGACTCCAACTCAAAAAAAAAAAAGTTTCACCAGTATAGAGCATATTTTACATTGTTATCAAACAAAAGATCAAATAATGTCTAATAATTCTGTTAATCATACACTTTTTTAAAAAGTTCAACCAGGTTTGCTTGCTAGACTTTGTATTAAAAATGTTAATTTTTAAACATTAAAAATGATTGAAACACTGAGTGTGTTCTTGAAAAAAATAGCCCGCTCCATTCTCTCAGGCTGCTTGATGGTCTATCTAACATACTAGGAACTCTTCTGGCTGAGCATACATACAGACCTGCCTCCATACCTCCCCTTTGACCAGACCTGTTAGGATCATGACTGCCCACGCTGGGGTCAGGGCCACCTTGGGGCAGGGAAGAGGTAGGAGCTTGCGACTCAAAGGCAAGAAGGGGTGGCCTGGTCAGCGGCGGCCGGGAGTGACCTGAACCCTTGTACATAACTTAGTGGAAAATTAAGTCATTAATGCAGCCCTGTGATAGCCATGCCTCTCTATTTTTAGCAAATTTTATTTTTTGTAGAGACGGAGTCTCGATGTGTTGCCTAGGCATGTCTCAAGTCTCTGGCCTCAAGCTACCCTTCTGCCTTGGCATCCCAAAGAGCTGTGATTACAGGAATGCCACCGTGTCTGGTTCCTCCATTTTAAGAAACAGATCTTGTTTTGAGCAAAGGCTGCACAATGGAATTGAACAAACTCAAGACCCGCCCCCCTTACTTCTCTGAGCATCGGAGGCCCTGGGTACCACGTCAGACCCGGTGGTCGAGGATGCTCTGGAGCTGGCAAAGCTCACTAGTCACCAGGATGAGCCCAACTGGGAAGACAGACCAGCACAGGTGCAAGTGCTGATTGGTACGAGCCTGGGTTTTTTTGCACAAGAGGAAATAGGGCGTGACCAAAAAAGAGGGGGCTGGAAAAATATTAAGACCACCCTGCTCAGTAGGAAGGGGGTGACCCGGGGGGGACTAAGGTGGGAGTAGACCCTCCCCGTGAACTACAGAGCTTGCCACACTGACGCACAGGACTAGCTGTGGGCATTTGAAACGTAGGTTCTGCCTCGGTGGGACTGCAGGCCTGCAGCCTTGGGTTTCTGACAAGCTTCCTTCCTGGTGCATGTGCCAGCCAGGGCCCAGTGCAAAGTGACCGAGAGGAGTAGGGGCAGGAGAGGCCGGTAGGAGTCATGGGCAGCACAGGGCGAGGATGGGCAAGGAGGGAGGCCAGCGAGCCCATGTGGGGACAGTGACTACGATGCCAGGTCTGACTCAGGACTGTCTGCACAGGTTCAAGGGGCTGCCACCCCCACCCTGGACCATGAGCTTCCTTGGCAGGGACTGGGTCTTGGTCCTCTCTCCGTCCCATATAGGGACCCAGCCTCTCCTCAGAAACGAGTCACAGTGGCCTCTGCCCCCAGCAGGACTAGCCTGGAACTGAGCAGTATACCCCAGGACATTGTCCTCATCTACCCAACAGTGGTCTACAAGCCCCAATTCCAATCCCATCTTGGCATCCACCTCGCAAGCAGTCCTGGGCACACACGGGGTCTCTCTCTGGCCACAGCTGCCCCAGCTCTCCAGTCCTGTGTGATGTGCAGACACAGACAAACGCAAGGTGTGCTCCCAAGGAGAGCTCTCCTTCCAGGCCCACTGGTTGCCACACAGCTGCAGCCAGATGGGCTCCTCCTGCCTGGCAGAAGCTTCTCTAAAAGCTGAGTGCCATCCAAGGATGTAGCCCCTCTGTGTAGAGGTCTGTTGTCCCTTCTTGTGGGAGAATAAAGACAGAGTTTTATTCTGAGTGTCACCTTCCTTGCCTGTGCCCGCACACGTGAAACGGCTCTTGACAAAATGAGTTGGAAACCATCTCAGTCTCCAGGCCTATGACCTCAGGTTCTGCAGACTCCAGCACTACCTTCCTCCCTGCCTCTGCCCCAGGTCTGCCTTCTGGGGACCCTGGCCTGTACCTTCTGTAAATTCTTTCTACTACATCTTTCAAAACCACCCCTCTGTGACCTAGAGATGGAAGGTCTGTCCCACCTAAATCTGTTAAGTGGCTGAGTGCTGGGAAGCTGAGGGGCACTAGAGCCTAGGAGTTTGCATTCAGCCTAGACAACATAGCAAGATGTCATCTCTACAAAAAAAAAAAAATCAAAACAAGCCGGGTGTGGTGGTGTATGTCTGTAGCCCCAGATACCCGAGAGGCTGAGGCAGAAGGATAGCCTGAGTCCAGGAGGTGGAGGCTGCAGTGAGCCATGATCGTGCCACTGTACCTCAGCCTAGGCAACAGAGTGAGATCCAACTCAAAAAATACAGAAATTTGTTAAGCTTAAAATGGTGCAGGTTTCAGGGTCCAGATGCTCAGATGCTTTGAAGTTTCCTGCAAGTTGTTACATTTAATTTTTCTCCAAAGGATTTTGCATTGACAGCTGTAGGACCCTTTGGAGGGGACCTTTGCCTCACCATCTGTCCAGAGGAAGGCCCAGCCCCCACCCCACCCTGGTGCTGATTGGGGTGACGTCAGTGTGGGACTGAAAATCTCCCCTTGGCCCCCATAGACATTTCAGGGGGCAGGGCAGTGTGGGCCACAAAGTAAAGTAGAATCTCACGATGATGGCGATGATTGCTCTGTGCGGAGGAAGGCTGCCCAGGCCCGGAGCGAGGGTGACACTGCCCTGCTCCTCCTGGGGACTGACACACTGGGAGAGGGGCAATCAAAACGCAACAATCACACCAACCTTTAAATAGTAACTTTTAAAAATATAAAAACAGCTCATTACAATGACTTTCCATTTTCTCTTTTACTTTGGGAATACCCTTCTCCACACCCTCCCTTCTGGCAGAAGCCTCCCAAGAGGTGGACGGACACGGACCCAGACTCCACATGCCCCACGCGCCGGGCCTCTGGTCATGGCCTCCGTGTCCCGTCAGCGGCGCAACTCAGCTGGGAGCAGCGGGCATCTTCCCTGCAGCCCCTTCCTCCTCCTCACCAGACAGAATCACACATTATAAAATAATCCATAAAAATGCGGTATAAAAATTATCTTCCATATGCTACACCCAGGGAGAGCCGCCACCAGGACTCACGGCGGCCTTTCACTTCTCTTTGAAAAAAGGAAAGACCAAAAAGAAACAAACAACAAACTCCTAAGACCTCAGCAAATCACGGTACCAAGATGCGGTACCCGTGGAGGCGGCATTCCTACCTGTGACCTGTCAGGCCCATGCGGGAGACCACAGGTGCCGGGGACCTCAGCCCTATCCCTTCCACCCTGCCCAGACGGGACGAGGGGCCCATCTTTCAGATCCACCGCTTTGCAGTCAACACGCTTTCCCCACCGAGGGGAGAAGGAGGGACTGGAGGCAGGAAAGGGGAGGAGTCGTTTTAGAAAAGGACATCACTTCTAATTCTTTTTATTCAATTTAAAAAAAAAAAAAAAAAGCACCCACGTCGGTCGCTGTTTCCCGGGAGCTCCCTGAGCTGAGGGCTGGGCCTTCCTCTGTCTGTCCTTTCTGGGCTGTTTGGAGATGGAGAAGGACCGAGTGTGCCCCAGAGAGACAGGCTGGGGTGGGGGTGGAGAGGAAGAGTGAGGGAGAGACGCGGAGCAGGAGGGGCAGGGGGGCGCGGGAGACGCAGAAAACTTAGGCCCAGGCGAGCCCGTCGGTCGGTCCGTCTGTGCGTCCCTCAAGTCAGCCCTGCGCAGAGGCCACATGCGTCCCCGTGGACACTGGAGGCCGCAGGACCCCTCCATCCTTAAGACTTCTCCCCCCATTCTCCATCTTGCTCCCCCCCCCCCCGCCGGGAACTTGCTTAAAAAAAAAAAAAGAAAGCCACCACCACGAGTGGGTTAAAGTACAGCAGGCGAGATACACGTGGCGTGTCTGGCAGGAAGGGGCCGCCCCCTCGGGCCCACGCAGGAGTCTCTTATGTACATTTTCACAAACCGTGTGCACTGCACAGCTGGGAACCAGAGCCCCCGCCCCGCACGACCAAGGGGTCCGCTCCAGCATCCCCACCCGAGGTGGGAGGGCGGGAGAAAGGAAGGGACGAGAAGACAGAGCGTTTCCGCGGGAAAGGGAGGCCCCAGCCTCCGAGTCCACCTCCGGCATCGTTGGGGAAGGAGAGACCCCACCTGAGTCTGCGAGACACAGCGAGCCATGTGGGGGTTCACCTGCCCCCCAGTCACCAGAGCACAGCCCTGGGATGCCTGGCTGCTGCGGCCCGTCCCCTGCCACATGGGGCCGGCGGGGTCCCCCTGTCAGCGCCGAGCCGCATCCTCCCAGAGTCTGACAGCCCTGCTGCAGTCCGTGATTAGTAGATGACCTCATAAACTGTGGCCTTCTTGTCACCAGAGCCCGTCACGATATACTTGTCATCTGCTGAAATGTCACAACTCAAGACAGACGAGGATTCTTTCGACTGAAGGAGGGTGGGATGTGGTAAGCAGCATGAGGTACGGGGAAGGGAGAGAGAGAGACGGGGGGGTCATTCTCAGGGTTCTCCTAGGTACAGCCGTCCCCCCTACCCCCCCGAGGCTGCAGCCCAGGGTGTGCTTGCAGGGACAAAGCTGGGGGCCTTCAACCTCCACCTGGAGCGCTTTCAGGTTGGGGAATCTTCCCCCACCCACCCCCTACCTTCCCACACAAGCCCCAGTGTGGTCTTCAAGTCAGAGCAACCAGCAGGCCGCACCTGCCTGCACCTCCCAGGTTCAGACAGGAGGGAGTGTTTATGAATTGGGGGCGGCAGGCACAGGCCAGACCCTCCCCAGGGAGTCAGGAAGGGACTGGCAGCGGGTCTCTAATGCATGTGGTGTCACCAGAGACCCAAAGCGATGTGGACACACTGGACACACTTCAGCCCGAGGCTGGAGAGCAGCTTCTTGGCTGAGTGTGTGTATCTAAGTGAATGAGTGCAAGAGTGTGTGAATGAACATGTGTGTGAGTGTATGTGTGAGTGTATACACGTGTGAGTGCGTGTAAGTGAATAAGTGTGTTTTCACAAACCATGAGAGTGAGTGAATGTGTTGGTGTAAGGGTGAGTATGTGGGTGCACATGAGTCCGTGTGCATATAAGATGTGTGTGTGTGTGAGTGGGTGTGTGAGTGGGTGTGCACGGCACTCGTGCGGCTTGGCAGGCCCAGACCCTGCAGAGCTGTGTCCAGCCCCCTCCCTCCCTCCTCTTCCTGCCACTCTGTGGGTGTCAACGGACCCTAACTCCCCTGAGCAGCGCCCCAAGGCTGCGAGCCTCCTGCCAGAGCCAAGGCGTGTGCTCCCCTGCTGTCCAATCCTCAATCCTGGAGCCCCCCCAGACCAGAAGCCATGTGCAAGTTGGTCACCCTCTGGAGGGCCGGGCCCTGGTGGGGTGGGGTCAGCTGCAGGCCCCTTCCTTCTCACACCCTCCCACTTCCCCAGCAGTGGGGTGTGGGGGTACCTGGAATATGCTGGCCCCGTAGGGCGTCCTCCACGCGTTTAGGAGGTTGTCCTTCCCGGTACTCACGAACCACTTGCCTATAGCAGAGAAGAGGCACTGTCAGGCTCCGGCCCGCTGCCCACCCACCCCAGACGTGGCCGCTGCCTTGTGGCAGAGGCTGCCCAGGGCTGAGTGTGACCCTCCAGGTTCTCAAAACACAGACACCCAAGAGCACCTTTCTCTGCCGTCTAAGAGGGAGGGGCCAGGATGGAAAAGACAAGATTTATTCAATGCAGTGAGAACACTCCCCTAACGGATGGATGGACACTTGTTAAAGCCACCGAGGTTAAAGGTAACCCCCTAACCCTAACCCTAAAAGATGCTTGCTAAAGCCACTGAGGCTGGTCAGCCCTTCTCAATCCGACCATGGATTAGAGCAGGAGAAACTGGGAGGAGTCAGGCCCTGGAGAGTGGAAACCAGAGTTGCAAAGGCTCCCCCAGGGCCACATGAGGGTTCAGTGCTCAACCCGACCATAAGGACTCAGCCCCAGGCTGCAAGCTTATACATAGGGGAGCAGACGTTCTACCCAAGGCCATTGGCTGCCAGCATCAGCGGCCATGACCACCAGGAGGAACTGCCCACTGGGCCATAGCTCCTTTGCCTCGGGCCAGCATGGGGGGGCCCTCTTGGGAGCTCAGTGTCCAGTGTTGACATCTGTACGAGTAACAGAGGGTGTCGAGAACAGAGGGCGTGGAAGGGGCACTGGCCTGGGGGCAGGCAGGAGGCCTGGTTTGGTTCCCTCCAGGGCTGAACGCTTCCTACCACTAGGGCCCCTTGCCCCGCTGGGATGGGCTGCCTGGACCCCATTCAGGCTTGCTGGGCTGCATGACCCCCACGGCAGGCCCCCCTAGGCTTGCCAGGTTGCTCTCTCCCCCATCCCTCGCCCAGGCCCACCGGCTCACCACAGTAGGCAAACTTGAGGGACAGCACGCAGCTCTCATGCAGGTGCAGCTGGTACTTGTCGGGCTTGGTATGGTGCAGCACCTCCACGTTGCTGCTCTCCATGCCCACGGCCAGCCACTCCCCGGTGGGGCAGTAGCCCAGAGAAAAGATCTGCGGGGACACCGGGGGCTCAGTGTCTCCACCTGCCCGGGCAACCTAGGAGCCCAGGAGCCCAGGCCCTCCCCATCGGCCCCTGCTATTTGCAGAAGGAGGGCCCACCCCTGGCAGCCCCATGACCCAGGGGTATGGGGTTTCACCCTGTACCCCCATTTCCCGGGGAGGAGGAGGCTGAGGCCCAGGGGGCAGCGGCCTCTAGAAAGGAGGTCACAAGGCAAGGACTAGAGCTCAGAAGAGGAACGGACACACCACAGTCAAAGCCACCCTCCTACTCCATCTCTGTGGCTTAGTAAGCAGGCACTAAAATACGAGATACTTAAGATGAAAATGTTAACGTTGCCAGGTGTGGTGGCTCACACCTATCATCCTAGCACTTTGGGAGGCGGAGGCGAGAAGACTGCCTGAGCCCAGGGGTTTGAGACCAGCCTGGGCAACTTAGTAAGACCTTGTCTCTACAATAAATAAAAAACTCAGCTGGGCGTGGTGGTGCATGCCTGTAGTTCCAGCTACTTGGAAGGCTGAGGGGGAAGGATCGCCTGAGCCCAGCAGGTGGAGGCTGCGGTGCACTCCGGCCTGGGCGACCGAGTGAGACTCTAACTCAAAAAAAGTTAAAGTGAGTGATAAAAATAAGACGCAACCCTGCGTCTCCCAAGTAAAGCAGGCTCACAGCCAAGTCTCTTAGAGACCATCTCAGTGCTTGCGACAGACTCAAAAGAGCAGCTTGTGTTTCTGGCTCGTGTGAGGACAAGGTGCTCCACAGCAGTGGAGACACGAGTCGACCCCCACGGTCGAGTCAAGCGTGTCCAACCCCAAGGCCTGGTCTACTCTATGTCATTGCGACTTCGTCCAGGAAGCTCTCCCAGAGGCCTCGGTGTGGTCCCAACTCCCCTGGCAATGATCACCCTGGAGGGCCCCTCTGTCCCCTGCCCTGATCACTGGGCCCTGGTGTGGGTGGGGGACAGGCCACTCTGTGGCGAGGCAGGCGTCCCCGGTGGCGTACCTGGGATGTGAAGTCATGCTGCTGCAGCTGCCGACCCTCCCGCAGGTCCCAGGAGCGCACGGTGTTGTCCAGGCCCCCAGTCCACAGCTTGGTGCCATCGTGGGAGATGTCTATGCAGCTGGCTCCATCCGTGTGGCCCTGGAACTGCCTGTGAAGGCCCAGCAAGGAGGAAGGTGAGCCCCGGGACCCCTGACCATGGGCTGACAGCCGTCCACGGAGACAGAGCAAAAGGGGAAACTGAGGCCCAGAAGGGGTCCCTTAGTGAGCCTGCGGCATGGCTCAGCCATGGGTCCTCCAGGCGTCTCATCCTCAGGGAAATGGGGGATAAGACGGGGACCTCGCACTAGGCACCATGACCCCGGGCGGGCCAGCTACCTGCCCTGGAGGGGGTGGGGCTGGGGAACAGGAGGCCCTGGGAGGCTTTCAGGAGGTGGCTGGGGCCCCGTTCCGCAGGACAACCTCTTCACCTCCATGTATGGCGCCCGTCCTGTCCACCCAATCCCTCTCCTCGCCCTGCAGCAGCCATGGGGCCGAGAACCTGCTGCCCGAGAACTCAAGTGACATGGCTGGTGTGCAGGGAGCCAAGGGTCAGGCACCCCGTCTTTCATCCCTGGTGCAGCTCAGAGGAAGAGGCTACACTGCCCATTTTATGCAGGGAGAAACTGAGATGCAGGGGTCCAGCAATTTGCATTAAGTCACTGCAGACACAGAATTCAAACCCAGCAGCTCTGTCCCCTCACGTGTGATCACAGTGTGACACTGCTTCCTACCTGGCCTCCAGGGCTTCCTCTAGCCTGAGTTCAACCTCCACCTCCCCTGACCCCTCCCAGCCCCATCTTCTCCAGAGCTGGTTCTGAGCACCCAGGTCCAAGAGCCTTCCCTCCACTGTCCCTTGCACAGGCAGGCTGAGCTGTTTTTGCCCCGCGCACACCTCACTCCAACTGCTCCGGCCACCCAACAGTGCCTGGGACAGGACCAAGGTCACGGCAAACAAGGCAGGGCAGGGTGCCAACTCCTCCAGGATGGGCCCCGTGAACTCCCCCAGGATGGGCCCCGTGCCCCCGTGAAGCTCACCTGACCAGGGTCTGGTTGTGCAGGTCCCAGACAGCGATGTTCCCATCACTGCAGCAAGAGAAGCAGACTTTGGCGTCGGGGCTGATGGCCAGGGCGTAACAGGCGGGTGCGGAGGATGTGAGCTCGGCCTTGATGCGTGGCGTGGGCGACGCCAGGTCCCAGATGGTGAGCGTGCTGGCCTCACCGCCCACGATCAGCGTGCGCCCATCGGGAAGCAGCTTGCAGGAGCGGATGTAGTTGTCCCTGTTCTGGAGGGAGCGGGGTAGGCCTGAGTCCGGCTGTGTCCCCCTGGGGACCTGGAAGGCCCGTCCGGGAAGTGCCTGCTCACAGCTGCTGCACGCCGTGCCACCCTTCAGATTCACGTTTCTTCACAAACCCCAGGAGGTCGGCATCAGCCCCATATAGAGACAAGACAGACTGAGGCCTGGGGAGGTTAGCCATTTGCCTGCAGCTGCTCAGCCGACACCAGGCTGCGCTGGGCCCTCTGGGTCTCCCACGCCGGCGGGCAGGGGCGCCGGGCTCAGGACTCACCAGGCAGTCCAGCTGGGAGATGGGGCTCTTGCTGCCCGGCTGGCTGATGTCCCAGATCTTCACGCAGCCCTTGCCCCCTGTGTAGACGTGCCGCGTGGGGTTGCTGATGGTCACAGCACACACCACTTCCCCGTGGCTGAGGGTGTTGATCTGCCGGGCGTGCCGAGGGATGCCAGGTCCCGCCAGGGCGTCGTGGGGGAAGGGCACTGGCTGCATCTGCCCATCGGCGCTCACGTGGAAGGAGTAGGCACTGGAAAGGTGGGACCGTCACTCCTGCCACCTGTCCTGGGTCCTGCCCGGGCCACCCGCAGTGCCCCTGGCTGGCTGCCCTGCCTCTAGGGCCCCCTCTCCCGGGACCTCTCGAACCCAATGACCCACCAGGCAGAGTGGGGGCTGCCCCACATTTCAGCCTGCTTTCCACCCACGAACACATCCTTGCTCCAGATGAGAGGACCACAGGCGCCTGGAAGGCCCTCCCTCTACCATGCGTCCACACCTCCCACCTCCCCCACATGCCAGCCCTGGAAGGGACTTGGCTGAAGGGCCACCTCCTGCTTCAGGAGTGGGTGGCGTTGGCA